CAAAATAAACCTTCATTTCGGTGCAATATTGAAATGAGCTTGAATTCTTCATAACCTCTGAATAGTGGGTGACCCAACGGGTCACGGGTGGTCTAGTATTTTCTAAAACCAAGCTGGGCAGTGGCCTTGACTATCAAACACGTCAGACTGTGACATTACGTTATCTGTAAGCAGGTGAAGTGTTATTTGGTGTTTGTATGCTTTCAATGTTAACGACATTAGTTAGAAAAAACACGAATGTTTTGTGGATCGTACTTGAAACTGTAATTTTGTGATGTAACTTACATCTCTAATGTAGAAGAAAGCTCGGTCCTCAAAGATTTATGAAAATAATGGTAAGTGTTGCTATTCTGTAATAGTGATTAATCACATTTATTATGTAGCAAAATTATTTACTACAGAATTCATTAAGAAATGAAAACTATAATCTGTATGTTACTTCGTTCAATATTTATAAAAACATTAGTCCATGATAGATAATTGTAATTTTTTTTTTCGTTTAAATGAACGAATGATAAAAACTGACTTGGGTAACACTGCTATCGTTAAATAAGTTTTACTTAGGACATAAATGACGTAATAATAAATATGTTGAGACACATTGAAAAACAATTTGTCTTAGTAACACAATTTATATGTAGAACACCATCCGCCTTTGTAAAACATGTGTAAACGAATTATTTTGTCAAGTTATATTAATAGCATAAAGTCAAACTAGTGAAACTATAAATTGTAAATCATCACGTGATATATAAATAAACGTCTTTCTCTGGACATTCTACATATAAATAGTCAGAAAATGTATAGAACTAATAAATTAGTGTTAAGCGTCCTTTTTTTGGATGTTTTACATATAATTAGTCAGGAAATGTATATAACTAATGAATTAGTGCTTTAAACCGATTGTTTTAAATATAGTCATGTTGATCAAATTTATGCTGGCCCCACTTCGTGTAACTATGACGTTATAGATGCCTGTCATGTCAGCCTAACAATGCGTCACCTAGTGACAATTTATGGAACTGTGAGGTTATGGCGGCCTAGAAACGCGTCCTCTGGTGACACTTTATAGAACTATGACGTCATCGTCTTTGATGGCATCATTGCCCCTTCCCTCCCCCTCCCTGAGGCAGTCAATCAGCGTATGTAATAATGCTTGGAGACGGCTTGAATGGGTATGAAGGAAAACTTTAATATAAGTTTGTACATTTGCTGTTATGTTAAACTTATATTAAAGTTTTC